TCTTGGTGGTGGTTACAACAGAAAAGAAAAATGTCATCAGCTTACTCAGGTAAGGTTAGCAGATGCCACCACCTGAGACGTCAACTACGGGTTTACAGAGCTACCTTTCGCCCACCACCAAGAGTATTAGTAATAGTCTAGCGTCAGTTAACCCTGAAAAGTTCTAATGGACCACTCCAACGAAAATTCACAGAAAACTGGACGAGATGTAATGGATTTATGGATCACTTTCGCCTGATTCAACCAGCTTCAATTTCCTCTTGATGTGGAATTTCTGTATTAAAAGAAATAAGATGAGAAGAAGACTTGAAACTCCGAGTTAAACAAAGAAAAGTCTGCATCAGCAAGTTAATGAACTCCTTTCTCGTCAAAACAAAAAGGAATACGCTGTTTCAGCCTAACAAATGCTTTAAAATAACAATAGAGTGACAGACAATATATAGGCAATCCCACTTTTGACCAAGTCAAGGTTTTCTACGAGTCTCCCTGTCTATAGTGATGTTATCAGTTATCAACTCACAGAGAATGAGAGTTAAGTGTGTGTGTGTGTGTGTGTGTGTGTGTGTGTGTGTGTGTGTGTGTGTTTACGTCATCTATCTCTCTCGTCTACCCTCCCTACCACACCTGTAACCTTTAACAAGAGAAAATGTCACCTTTCTCCTATCCCTGCCCTTCCATACGTGACGTCTCACCTAAACTCACATACACCACCGCCGCCACTACACTTCCAACACTCTAGCACCACCACCACCATCATCACCATTACAACACCACACACTAACACCATTCAAGAAACTTTTAACATCCACAAACTTTTACCACAGCTATATTTAACCCTCCACAACCTCCCTACCCACCACACTCCACCTGCACACAACACTCCACTCACCACAACACACACCCCTACTTACCGCACTCCACCTACTCACAACCCACACACCACCACAAACATGCACTCACACCTACAACCCTACACCCACACTCATCACACACCAACTCTCATATCACCCTGTATACATTCGTTAACTCTCTCATATACTTACACATTCCTGCACGCACACATTACATACACATTTACAAGCACATTTCAGTGCACACGGATGACGAAATAATATGAATATATTACAGTAGTCAAAACACAACGATGATCACACTCACATAACTAAAATGCATGTATCAGTAATTTTTTGTATAATAACTTTGCAATTGAACAGAAAAATATTCCCAGTATATCATTTGCCTCCCTGAAGCTGACCTCCAGCACAGTGAACATCGTGTTCATAAGAACTCATCTGACAATCAACTTCGTTAAGGAGAACAATCTCGCCTGATAAGTCTAACCATCAGTATAACAGTCAGACTTGTAAGGATGCTCTCATCTCATCTCCAGTTCAGTTAGGTAAAAAGATTAATCTCGAGCTGTAAAAAGTTGATTTCAGCATATAATTAAAAGGCTTTATGAGTATACAATTTTAAACACAGTGAGATCAATACAAGGAAGTGCATTGATGCTCGTGTAAGGTCTCTGTTTCAAGGAATTGGACCTACTGTACCATTCCTATACAAGGATGTAATCTAATTACCTTCCATTAGTAGTAGTGGTACTAGAAGTACCAGTAGTTGTAGCAGTACCAGTTGTAGCAGTTATACTAATAGTTCTAGCAGTAGCAGTTGTACTAGTAGTTCTAGCAGTAGCAGTTGTACTAGTATTTCTAGCAGTAGCAGTTGTACTAGTAGTTCTAGCAGTAGTAGTTGTACTAGTATTTTCTAGCAGTAGCAGTTGTACTAGTAGTTCTAGCAGTAGCAGTTGTACTAGTAGTTCTAGCAGTAGCAGTTGTACTAGTAGTTCTAGCAGTAGTAGTTGTACTAGTAGTTCTAGCAGTAGCAGTTGTACTAGTAGTTCTAGCAGTAGCAGTTGTACTAGAAGTTCTAGCCGTAGCAGTTGTACTAGAAGTTCTAGCAGTAGCAGTTGTACTAGTAGTTCTAGCAGTAGCAGTTGTACTAGTAGTTCTGGCAGTAGTAGTTGTACTAGAAGTTCTAGCAGTAGCAGTTGTACTAGTAGTTCTAGCAGTAGCAGTTGTACTAGTAGTTCTAGCAGTAGCAGTTGTACTAGTAGTTCTAGCAGTAGCAGTTGTACTAGTAGTTCTAGCAGTAGTAGTTGTAATAGAATTTTCTAGCAGTAGCAGTTGTACTAGTAGTTCTAGCAGTAGCAGTTGTACTAGAAAGTTCTAGCAGTAGTAGTTGTATTAGTAGTTCTAGCAGTAGCAGTTGTACTAGTAGTTCTAGCAGTAGCAGTTGTACTAGTAGTTCTAGCAGTAGCAGTTGTACTAGTAGTTCTAGCAGTAGCAGTTGTACTAGTAGTTCTAGCAGTAGCAGTTGTACTAGTATTTTCTAGCAGTAGCAGTTGTACTAGTAGTTCTACCAGTAGCAGTTGTACTAGTAGTTCTAGCAGTAGCAGGTGTACTAGTAGTTCTAGCAGTAGCAGTTGTACTAGTAGTTGAAGCAGAAGTTTAATATGTTAATATTGCATTCACTTCTATGGAGAATTTCCAATAGATTTAGAATTTGTTTAGATTCTTAACACATTGATGTTAGTAATAGGTTCGAGACACGATAAGATTTCGTACAAGACACACCCAAAACATCCTGTACAGAACCATCCCATCTGCATCCTACACGGGAATCATCGCTTCATCCAACACAGGTAGAACTTCAAAACAAATACTGTAAGCCTGAAAGGGCAGGCAAGACAACCTTTCTCAACCTGCCTGAGGTATTAATTTCACATACAGACGTATTAATTTCATATACCTCAAGAGATACGTTCCATGAAGGGTTTTTACTATTATTCAGACTGGTCTTTTTTATAACTGTGGCCAGAGATTTTATAACCTTGTTGTATCGTGAAGGTTGATAGGCTGCTAGGAGACTGTATCGTGAAGGTTGATAGGCTGCTAGGAGACTGTATCGTGAAGGCTGATAGGCTGCTAGGAGACTGTATCGTGAAGGTTGATAGGCTGCTAGGAGACCGTATCGTGAAGGTTGATAGGCTGCAAGGAGACTGTATCGTGAAGATTGACAGGCGGCTAGGAGACTATCGTGAAGGCTGATAGGCTGCAAGGAGACTACTAATAATACAGGAGCTCTAGCAGATGGTCAATTTTCCAACAAAAACTAATTTTAACTCTATATCATCTGCAATTACCAGCAGCCTGTCTCTTCCATTAGTGGACGGATACTTTGACAATTTCACAATTCCTCACAATTTTTTTCTTTTGCATTTTCCGCCAATATAATCCAGACATAAACAACATAAACGGATCCATCTCTGGGTCGGTACATACTGTGTAATTTTATCACTATAATTTAAAAGGAATTAGATGCTGGATATTAGTATCCGGTTCTCAACTCACAAGTTATTGAGTGGCTGGGGAAAAAAGCGATTCGCTTAACGCATTTTTCGCTTAACGACCCATCTCTCCTGTTCCTATCTAGGCTGTTAAACGAAGGCCTGTTGTAATAATAATATTATTATTATAATTATTACTATTATTATTAACGATAAAATGATAACATCATGGCTCAATTACGTAGATTTCACTGTAGATTATGATGCTGACAGCATCTCAGTGATTTAACGTTATTGGATACATCTGCAGTATCGCGAAACGTTGATGTCTATATAATTACCAACGTTATGTGCAAATGAGGTGGTTAGGTTGGCTAGCATTGTGTGTTTGGTCCAGAGTTGCTGCGGCGGGGATAACTACCCAGGGATGTAGTTAGCTAGAATGAAAGTAACTTTCAGGGGTGTATGATAATGAAGGTAATTAAGTACCTGAGGTGTAGTTAGTTGAATTGAATATGTAAATGGTATAGTTACAGTGAAGGCAACTGTCATGGGTTGTAGTTAGACACAGATAATTAATTACAACGAGTGTAGTTAGAGTGAAGGTAACCATTAGGGTGTAGTTAGAATGATGATAATTAAATACCGGGGTCGTAGTTAGCTATAGTGACTAACTATCACGGGTGTAGCTAGCTGTAGTCACATTAACTACTAAGGGTGTAGTTAGTTATAGTGACACCAACTAACTACAAAGACTGTCGCTAGCTAGAGTGCAGGTCACTAACTCATTACCTTAAAATAAAGGTACATAGAAGGAATCAATTTATTATCTTGTACTTCTTAATAAGACACAGTCGTATGTATATATTTTTTATTGAGGGAGCTTAGATCAGTCCGCCGTGTGTAGCTAATAACCAGAAACTCTCCGGCACTCTGCGCGGAAGTGACTTATGTAAGGACTGCTGTTATCATTGCTTGGGTTATGACCTTGCATGTTTGCAATAAGAACATAAGACTGAAGGAACACTGCAGCAGACCTACTGGTCCATAATAGACAAGTCTTTTTCAAAAAACAACCATTCCCACCCACCTAATTGCTCAACCTTTCCCCAAAGACACCCAAGAATTTGCTTCAGTACTAATTCACACCCATCCCTTACCACTCATATATTCGTCTTTTTTCTTTTGTTGATGTGAGTGTGGCTGAGCTGCGGCACTTTGGGATTTTGCATCAGACTGGGAAGCTGTGTAGAAAGGTGGTAGAAATGCCCTATAATTTACGGATGCATTTTTATTACACGCTGGATGCAGCCATTGCTGTATATAATGTAATGCAAAGTGTCGTAAAAGTTACCGAAATGTGTCAGCTTATGCATCTGAACTGCATTCATCCCAGTAGCGCTGAGGGCAGCATCTCAGGAGAGTCTTACGTCAACAAAGTTCAAAAGTGGTCAATACCTTTCACCCATACCATCACCGTCCCTATGATCTTCCTTGCTCACGAACGACTGACACACACTAAAGAAACCCTCTCACGTGAGTCAGACCACGAATGAATGGAGACCAAGAAAATGCGCTAAGTTTGGAAATGTTTTGAAGTTGTGGCAGAGTGCCGACTCCAGCAGCAGCAGAGTTGGTGTGGAGCCGAGCT